TCCATTGCTCGTCTACAACTGGTCCAAAATGCTGCAGCCCGATTTTTAACTGGTACAGGCTATAGAGAGCACATCACGCCTGTTTTGGCCTCCCTGCACTGGCTACCCATTCACCTTCGGATCCATTTCAAAATTCTCATGTATGTTTTTAAATCACTGAACAGTTCCACCCCATCCTATCTCACTGATCTTCTGCAGCCATATGTCCCACCGCGCTCTCTGAGGTCAGCAGACCAGATGCTTCTCTCAGTCCCAGAAACCCGTCGTAAGCTCAGGGGTGACAGGGCTTTCTCTGTTGCAGGTCCACGACTGTGGAATGAGTTGCCACTGTGTCCGGCAGACTCCCACACTCTCAGTCTTTAAGTCTCGCTTGAAGACCCACTTCTATTCGCTTGCCTTTAACACGGTGTGATTTGTTTTAGCCCGGTCTGTTCTCTACTCTGTTGGCCATTTTAGTTAGCTTCTGCTGCTATTTGTATCTGTATTTCTATTTTATGTTTTCCTGTCTGCTGTGCATGTTTGTGTTCTTTTGTACAGCACTTTGGTTGGCCTTGTTGCTGTTTTAAGTGCTATATAAATAAATTGGTATGGTATGGTATGATGCATGCTCAATAATCAAAACAATCCCAGCCAAAAATTAATACAAATCGTAATAAAAACTAATCTGTATTGTGACTCTGCTTGTCAAAACAATTTCAAGATGAAGCAAATTTATTTCATTTCTTTATTCATTTTTTGGAACATTGTTGTTGGTTGATTTTTACAAGTTGTTGTACTTTTGGCTTATTTTGTTTGGCTTTTCATAACCAGTTACTGAATGGGGATGTTGCCCACATGGTTTAATAAAGCATGAGATCCATTGTAAGGTTTACACATTAGCAGTTAGCTTAGCAAAATCCACAAAGTTAGGCATAAAGTAGGGACGCCGTTGTGAGACAATATAATTGGTTTAAATATTTTACATATGCTCTACTACAAAAAACAAAACGGTGCCATTTAGTTGTATTTTTGCAAAAGCTCATTTATTTAAACCTTTTTTTTTAAAACAAAATTCTTAAAAAAGCTCAAAGCTTCTGTCTTCAATGGCGTTGTTGTGAGGAAAATCGTCGTGTTAATCTTAACATCAAATTTCTCGTCTTCCTACAGAGGTCATCCTCATCTTTTGTGGTCCAAAAGATCTTTGAACTTTGAAGGGGCACGACAGCGGAGCAGTGAAGGAGGTTCAAGGGTAGTCTCCGTCTGGTCATGGTTCTCACCAATTATCATTTCTTCTCTTATTTGTCTTACTGATGGGTCTGAAAATTGCTAAGATGAGATGAGCCCGGTCTTTCCAAAACTCTTGGGTGGTCAGTCTGTCAGCAGACACCAATCACCTCCCTCAGCATGGATGTCACAGCAGAACTCTAATCTCACTGGGAAGCAAGCGGCCAAATTATCATTAGCCTCTGGATGTCATCTGAGGGTAAGGAGTAGCTTGTTTAGGCAGATTGTGAGGGTCCCAGGACAAAAAGAGGAGGGTCAGTGTGGGTGTCATCTGTGGCTCTGTGACTGACCATTGTGTGCAGAAGAAGAGAATGGAGCCTCGCTTCACGGTAATGTATGCTTGTGTTACAAACGCTGTTGTTGCTTTGGTGTATCAGAGGGAGTTTCTGTCAGACGTTGGATCAGGATCAATGAAATTCTTCAGTCTGAATCCAATAAGGACTGGATTCTGCTTACATATCATTTACACCCAAACAAAGATAATTGCTGCACATTTTGATGTGTATTTGCTTTATGCTGGAGGCATTTAAAGAGTCATCACAAGTGTCTGAGTGTGCATTTCTGCTTTAACATTTACATTACACTCACATGTGTAAGTCGTTAAGGGGAGAGGTGCTGTCTGGTCTGATGATAACGCTTAACATCTATATCCTGTGGGAACCAACGCACGAACATCTTTCTCTCAAAGAAAATCCAACTGGACTGTCTTTATGTCAACAACTGCTTGTAGAGAAATTGGAAAAACACCATAAATGCTTTTGATTTCTGTGAAAGCTAAGAAGAACGGAGCAGCACTCTACATCTGGTCCCTGTAGCCGAGCTTGGTGTCGTTTTCTTAGCAGCTGTTTATTTGTCGTGGTTTAAATCGTGCTTTGACTCGTCACCTGTGGGAAAGACGTCCAATTAGACCACAGAGGAGAAAGCGTAGGGAAAAAGCTAAAGAATGACAGAAATGTAAATCCAAAGCGAAAACACCAAGTGAAATACCAGCTGTGTGTTCACGCTATCGCTTTAATCAGCAATGACAGGTGTTCAACCAGTTGTAGTCGCAGCTGTTTGATATTTGTGTTGCTGCTGTTGAAGTTGACATTGCATTTCCACATCTGTGTACTGTATGTTGTCACATGTATGCGTGTTGGGTTTGGGTTGTACATATACAAACAGAAAAGTTACACAAACTGTCAACCACAAAAGATTCTCAGTATTTGTGTTGATGATGCGCTAACTGTGAATAACAGTCATCTACAGTGTGATGCAAACTGTGGTAACTGAACAGAACTTTTGGCTGGCTGCGTGATATTACTCAACATTTATAAAACTAGGATTCTAAAACTTTGCAAATAAATTAGATTTAACTGACGTTTTATGGCTTATTGATAACAGGCTTTTTTTTCTTATGTAAAAATTTAACATTTGAAAATTACTGAGATGTATCAAAAAAGCACCATGTCTGTGTTAGTGTAAAGAAAGCCATACTATCCCTGTTTTTTACTATTTCTACACCCCAACCACAACTCTGCCCCCAGTTCAGACAATATTTGACAGAATATCACTTAAAAAACTTAAATGTAAAGATATGAGTGGCTCAATTCCCATTTAACTGTTAACACAGCTTCCTTATCTAGTTTTGTAGAAAAGATAATCCAAACGTTAGTTTAGGTTTCTTGTTTGACTATAAAGAAAAATGAACTCTACCTGTTGTTGAGTGTAGGGCTTTTTTTTCCCAGGGTGGTGGCTGTAATAAAAGCTGTAATATTTTCTGGTCCTGAGGGTGAAGTGCTTTGATGAAGTGCGAGTGAGGCTTTGCACATTTTTCTCTGCTGCCATAATATCAGTAAAAAAAACAATGATTCTCCTCTCGAGCCGAATCAGAAACATGTGCCACTCACAAAGAGAAGACTGTGGCGCTGAAGCTTTTGTGACCATTGAAAGTACAAGTATGTACTGGTAGATGAAGAATCATCAATAGATGACTGCAGATATCCTGCAGAGGCTTCCTGGACTCTCATTAAATCAGTCTTTAACAATAGTACCGCGTATGGCACATTATATGACAACCAACAAATTAATATACATACAGCAATATGCAGCCTTGGCCTGGACAAACAAAGACCTTGTATAACCTTTGATCTTGATTTGTGACCTTAGAGCTGGGGTGATGAAAAGATACGCAGCACTCCGTCTAGTGATGATGCATATGTTTATCAAGTTTCATTAAATTATCTTGAGTGGATCAGAAGTTTTCTGTAGGTCCACCACCTGCAGGAGGGGCCATATGAGTTGGGTGCATGATGCCATGAGGAGTGGCTGAAGGTGGGGACCTTGGCACTTTGAGCCTGGTTTACCAAAGCTGGCTTTTGGAACATGGAATGTGACCTCTCTGGCTGGGAAGGAGCTTGAGTTTGTGTGTGAGGTTGAGAGGTACCGACTAGATATAGTTGGACTCACCTCGATGTACAGCTTGGGCTCTGAAACCAATCTCCTTGAGAGACTGGACCTTATTCCACTCTGGAGTTGCCTATGGTGAGAAGTGCCGAGCTGGTGTGGGTATACACTTAGCGCCC